TTTTTTTTTTTTTTTTTTTGAAAAGCCTTCACAAAACTTTTCTCGGGAATTGCAAAAAAAAAAAGGCATCAGGTTAGTTACAATTTATGAGCACTGTGACTTGATAATTATATGCTCGTTTCTTTAGCTTTTTTTTTATCTTTTTAGCTGCATCTTGTTTAGCCACTTTAAGTTAGTATAATTTTTTTCTTTTACATCGTTCAACTGAAGTATTTTTTTAATTTTGAGAGAAGAATCATTGTGGCGTAGAAAAATGTGTCAACCATAGCTTTCTTGACTCTTTCCTTTTTGAATTTTAGATGCTCATCTGATAGCTTACAAATGCTCTCTAGGCTCCCTTCCTCTGCTTATTCAGTCATTCCCGCTTCGTAATAATACTCCGTCTGCAAGTAAAACTTAGTTAGAAACCACCCTCTAGAACAAAGAAAAATAGCGCATTTCGTTACAAGTCTGCCCTTGCTAAATGAGAACATCGGTTTTATTGGTGAGAAGAACTGAGCTCATGTACTAAATACTGTAGCCTTTTAAGTTCCATAGCTTTCCATCTCTGCTGAGCCGCATACTGAATCAAAATTTCTCAATGCTGTTGCTACTGGTATTTTTATCAAAAAAAAAATACAAGTAAAGCTTATGATCAGTTCTTTTATCACATAAAACTATAGCTGTTTAGCTGACGTTGACTGTCGCCACGAAGCTATAACTTAAACGCCATAATTTTTAAGAAAAAAAAAAAGGCTTTTTTTCTTAAACAACGCCTTCCTTTGTTTTATCGTTGCTTTTTCTTAAAATGCCTTACTCCGCTACGTTTTGAAAAACCATTCAAAAAATTGATATGCAAAAGCCTGTCTAACTTTGACCAATGTTGCAGCAGAGTATGAGAAAACTGTACGAACTAATACACCTTTAACAAGAAAAAAAAAAGAAAAAAACAGGAAATGTCGTCATGTATCAAACAAAAAATTATGCAGCTTGACAGACAGATTCAAATTTACTGAGTAACTGGCAGGGTTACGTAAAAGTTTATTGTTAACAATTGGTTTTGTCTTTATTTGGTGTCAAAAGCGAAAAATCATGCAGAAACATGAGAAATTTACAGGAAATAATATAAATGAAAATGTAATTGAACAGTGATTTTGTTTTCAAAGAAAAAAAAACAGAACTTTGACGATTTTCTTCATTTATCAATGTCGTGAAGCACTCCATTTGTCGACCAGCTAAACTGATACAAGTCTTTAAGATCAGCATATATCTGGTCACCGACGTTTTTTAAAGCTGATTACGATGATAGAAATTTCGATTAAAGAATAATAATTAAAAAAAAAGTACAATAGAAATCGCGAAACTGCCGAGTCAGCTAAAGCTACATTAACCAGTTCCCCGGATTCTTAACTGTGTAGATTGCTGCTCTCTATCGTTACCGTCACGGTCATTTTTAGCAAAATTGAAAGTCAAAAAGGTTTTGTAATTATCTCCATTTATCACTGAACTTCCTAGCATGGCACTACTCTTTCTAAAATACAAGAATTTCAACAAATACAGTTTAGAATTTCTGAGGTTTCCTCAAGCAACTTTTCAGTCGATGCCTCTTGAATTAATTTACTGCCTCACTCCTCCGGTTGTTTTAATTAAACAAAAATCGCTCTTCAACTTTTTGATCTGTATTGCATGTATTTTGGCTACCTGTATAATGACTTGTATGACCTTAATTGACCTTAATTAAGATTTGTAAGGCACATCTAGTAAAACAGTGGCACCAGCAACGTTTAACGTATCACATTTTATAAAACAGCGAATTTTGTAAACGAGGAATGCATTTAATTCATAAAATTTTATTCCACTGTTTTAAAAGTCAGCAAAGTAAAAGAGTTGTAATCTTTGAGCTTCTTTGGATGTATTTGTGTTCTAATCTTCAGACTTCTGATTATACATAAAAGTACATAAGCTATAAGCTCAGCTTATCGTACTTCTTTCAAAATCATGTGCCGTAGTCTTCTAAACCGATCGCGCCATAACAATTTTAGAAAAAAGCTGGATCTAGCTGTTAACTGGTTAAAACAGAAGACTTTTAGTTTTCTTCGTGACACCAACGAAAGTGCGAAATGTACAAATTTGGCGGAAAGAAGGTGAGAAGCAGAAAAGACTAGGATAGATGCTATTTCTTATAACTCTGCAGACTAATAAATAGTTGATACTTTGAAGTGAAATATAATTTTTTTAACAAATCTTTGACGATTAAAACAAGCTGCGGTTTCCTAGCCATCCTTCGTGACTTTCAAGTGCAGCTGAAGATGATTTTGTTACTGTGACGTACGATGGATTGCTATAGAAACAGTAAATTTTTTTCAGTTTTAAAGTCTTTTTTGGCTAATAACTCCCAAATCATAGTATGTTATAAAACAAAAAAAATTTTGCAAATTGTTTTTTTTTTTTCAAGTTCAAAGGCACATTTCTTTAAAATACCTATTTAAAACTTTGTTTTTGTTGTATCTATGCACTTACTTTGCAGAATTAAATTATTTATTTTTTATTGGAAAGATTTTCCAAATCTAATGAGTAGAAATCTTTGATTCACATAAGGGTTTAGCTAGAGAAGGGTCTTGCAAAGGCAGGTTTGTGAAGTGGTAACCTGGCAAATTATTCAAATTTTACGAGATAAAACCTGGTAAAAAATTTATTTTTTTAAGTTTTTTTGGAACTAATGCTTTGAATTGTTATTTTCCATCGTTAAATTCATAAAAGCTCAAGAAATAAAAGATTTCAGATTACTGGAAAACACTGTTTTTAAGTATTATTCTGCGCTGAACGACAGAGTTATATCAAAAGATGACGTTTTCTGAAACCAGATTCTACAATGTGATTTCAGAAAGCAACGAGTGTGAAAACTAGTTGTTTTTAGTTAATTAAATGTAGCAATCTTTTTTTTAAACTAGTACTTCGTAATGCTAAAATTTTTTTGAGAAAAATAACGGAAATAAAAATGCCATTATTCTGACGAATGACTCTGTTACAGCAAATTTTTCTCTGCATCTCGATCTACTAACATAATGTTACATAAAATTTAAGGTTTATTGTACTTTTGGCAGTAATCCCATATAAATTATTTATAATTTCGTTCTGTATTTGGTAAACAACAAATAAATAAAATCAGATATTGAGTAGATAAAATTTTTTACTGGTTTTCAGCTGCTCGAGTGTCTCATTCTACCCATTTGCGCCAAAATATCGTTGATCATGAACCCACTAGTTTTATGTCTTTAATGTAGCGACTTTTGCAAAGTATAGCGATAGTGTAACTTTGTTCAGGAATAATGATTGAAAAAAATTGCTGTAATTTTAAGCGATTAAAGTAAATCGGCTAAATATTTGAAAAGTTTTGGTTTTCTTTTTTGACACAAATTGGTTACATAGTATAGTTGTCGGCTATTTACTAACCTACAACGCTGCTGAAAATT